CTTTATATCCAACTGTAAGTAGTGAGATAGGCCGGTAGTTGGAAGGCAAGGAAGTGTCCCCCTTTTTGAAGATGGTGACAACTGAGGATTCTCGCCATTCTTGCGGGATGTCCTTCTTCTCCCAGCACGCGCTGCACAAAGCCGTTAAGATGTCCAACGCCGCGTCGTCATCCCAAAGTGCTCGCCATAATTCCGGTGGCACTCCATCTGTTCCCGCTGCTCGCTGAATGCGTAAATGTTTAACTGCCCGCTTTACCTCTTCAGCCGTGATGGGACCAAGCTCTATGGGTAAATGCCCCCCTTCGGCATTGAAGTCGGCGAAATGAGATCCGCCAGGAGGCGGTCGCCATTGAACTTGTTCAAGATAATCTGCCATAGTGTCAGCCCGTTCAGAGGAGTCTACTAGGCGGCCATCTGCGTCACGGAGTCGTCCGCATTTGTGCGCACGTCCTTTCCGTAAGCTTTTGATCATGTCCCACCCATTGCTCTCGATGCCCTCTGTGAGCCATCGATTTTTGTCTGCCTTGGCCGATTGCCGGATCATTCTGTTCAATTGTCTCTCCGGCGTCGTGCTGATTGCCATCCCTCTTTGACGTGCCGTGTTCCTCTCGTCGATCAGGTGGAGAGTACGGTCCGAGATCCAAGGTCGCAGGCGTGATGCTTGCTGTGCTGGGATACAAGCGGCGGCAGATTCCAACATGCACCTAGATACCGCAGCAGCGTGCTCGTCAAGCGAAGTCTGCGCCGGTTGCTTCTGCCATTCCCCCACAAAGTGCGAAATGTATTGACGTTGCACGCTTTCGTCTTGCAGCGCCTTCGTATCGAACATCGGCTTCTTTTGCGTGCGGCTCGTCTTCGGTATGTTGATGTTCAGTTCCACGACTTTGATGAAATGGTGAGACTGGAGATGATGATCGCGACTGCTCCATATGTCATAAATACAATGCATCCAATTTTTAGCCACAATTATGTGGTCCAGCTGCTCGAAGTTACCGGACACGATGGCACTGGACGGCTCTATGCCGATATCGTGGTAAGTGACTGTGTGCTCGTCTGCGTGCTTGAAGTATGTATTAGCAACACACGCGTCAAGAGTATGACATAATTCCACTAGCAATTCACGGTTGGAGGTTGGGCTCCACGCCGAGAAGGGATTACGGAAAACATGTTCTCCTATAACGTCTTCTTCGCCAGCATATTGCTCTAGAAGCCGGGCGTTGAAATCACCAAGTATAATTGTTGGACCATGGGACCGGCATTTGTCAGCAAATACTGCCAAATCTGTGTAATAATCTCTTCGCGTATCGTATTCGTGCACATTAGTCCAAGCGTACGTTGTAATCAATGTTAAGACGCCTCCAGCAACACGTAGGGCTTAATTATCCCGGCAAAGCAACCTAACAGCGATGTGTAGAAGCATATCTGAAAGCATTCCCCTTAAGATTCAGATGAAAATCCAGTTGTAGAATTCTGCTGTTCTCGCAGTCGTAGTCGCATTCGCGATGACAGTCGCAGCGGCAACGGCAGTCGCAGTCACAGCCTCAGCCTCAGCCTCAGCCTCAGCCTCAGCCTCAGCCTCAGCCTCAGCCTGCCTCAGCCTCAGCCTCAGCCTCAGCCTCAGCCTCAGCCTCAGCCTCAGCCTCAGCCTCAGCCTGCTTCAGCCTCAGCCTCAGCCTGCCTCAGCCTCAGCCTCAGCCTCAGCCTCAGCCTCAGCCTCAGCCTCAGCCTCAGCCTGCTTCAGCCTCAGCCTCAGCCTCAGCCTCAGCCTCAGCTTCAGCCTCAGCCTCAGTCTGCCTTCAGCCTCGGCCTCAGCCTCAGCCTGCCTCAGCCTCAGCCTGCCTCAGCATCAGCCTGCCTCAGCATTCAAAATGTGGCCCAGGAATGGAGTTCTGGGAACTCGAAGAACACGAAGTGGCCTACAGTTGGCTCCGGGCATTCAAAATCATGCCCAGGAATGGAGTTCTGGGAACTTGAAGAGCACGAAGTGGCCTACAGTTGGCTCCGGGCATCCAAAATGTGGCCCGGGAATGGAGTTCTGGGAAATCGAAGAGCACGAAGTGGCCTACAGTTGGCTCCGGGCATCCAAAATGTGGCCCGGGAATGGAGTTCTGGGAAGTCGAAGAGCACGAAGTGGCCTACAGTTGGCTCCGGGCATCCAAAATGTACGCCGGGAATGGAGTTCTGGGAGCACCAAGAGCGATTTTGCGAGGATGTCCGAAGCGATTTCGGCTTCGGCGGCAGCGCGGCGGCAGCCTGTCCGGGTCCCGCCCCGACCACCCTGTGGAGTCATCTGCTGCTGAGACCACTAGAAACCTATCAGCAAAAGTTGTTAGGTAATTTGAAAGCACATGATTTGAGCCCCCAGGATATTGCGAGAGTTTAGCAGAAGCATACCATTAGCGGCGCGCCAAGGGAGGAAGGCCGAGGGGGCGGGCCTTCTCAGAGGTCTCGGAAGGCCTGTTGCACCACAGACGGCTCAGAAGGCTGGAGGGCTTCTGAGCAGCCCCGTCGCCTTCTGCGAAGGCATGCCCTTCTCGCTTCCCCCTCCGGTGTGACGCCCAGTTTGGCTGCGGGGCCACAGCTCGGGTCTCCGATCCCGGCGACCCCGGGAATGCTCTCGGCCAGGCGCAGCTGCTGGAGAGCACCTCGAGTCCGGAGAGCCTCCCGCGGCACGCGTGCTCGGCACCCTCGGCACGCGTGCTCTCGGAGGCACCGCGCAGCAGTGCGCGGCGGGGCCCGCGGCCGGTCCGCGCCCTGCGGGACCCCCCCCCCCCCCCCCGAGGAGCCGCGGCGGAGCCCCCGCGGCGGCCCGCGCGGCCGCGGCCCGCTCATACGGCGCCGCGACCCAGGCGGGGGCGCAGGGCCGTGCCCTCCGGGGGGGGGCGCAGGGCCGGGAGAGGAGGGTGCCTGCGGCAGGTTCGCGTCGTGTCGACGGGCGGCGACCCGCCGCCGGCGCTCCACGCTGAGCGCCGTCCGCCGCCCAGAGTCGGTCGACGTTGGACGATCGGACGTTGTGGGAGCAGCCGATCGTTCAGGGTTGAAGGGTCCCCGCGGGGTCAGGAACCAACGCCGGGGTCGACACGACACAGATCTGCCGTACGCAGGTGTTTTGGCAAGCTCATTTTAAGGTGCATAGCACACTTCGATGCTTTTGTAGAATCCTACCGCAAGGCCGCTGAAGGCCACCAGAGGCTGCTAAAGGCCGCTAGAAGCAGCAAAGGGCTGCAAAAAGGCGACCAAAAGCCACTGAAGGCCGCTAAAGGCCACTAGAGGCTATTACACCGAGTCGGTCTATGTTAGAATGGGCCCCCAAAAATATTAACCTAAGGATGCGCAAGAGGAGGAGGACCATTGTAAACCCAAGACGCATCGACAGTATTGCAATCATCCTGCCATCCAAGCTCCCTTCTTCGTAGGTCCCTGCATGAGCTTATTCTCATTGCAGCAGGTGCGCCATTGGAAAGCAACCGTCTGAGAGTCCTCGATCGTGCAGAAGCGCAATTCCTGGGACGTCTGACTTCTGCAGCCTGAGGCTCGTAAGTCGAGCCAGACCGCTGTCCCTGGGACTTCAGCACCGCGAATCACGGATGCGTCCTGACAATCCAAAGTAGTGTCAGAACACCAACCCAGGGGCCTCAACCAGAGGAGTCCTTAACAGAGTCGCAAACTTTCGAGACGAATGTTTGCGTGGCTAGGGAGTGAGAGAGAGAGAGAGGAACAACAAAGAGAGAGAGAGAGAGAATGAGAGAGCGCAGTATTTTGAGAAGAAACCGCCCTCTATCCTTGAGGCTGTTGCGCACTGTTAAGACGAATGTGCGTGGCATTAAGGCGGGAGCCACCTTTGCGAAAGTAGCCGTCCTCCATCTTTGAAGCTGTTGCAAACTTTAAAGGCGAATGTGCGCGGCGCTGTGTCTAGAGCCACATTTTGAACGCCACCTGCCTTCCATCCTTGAAACGGCCTTTCACTTTTACGACGACTGCGCGCGGCGCTGAGGCGAGAGCCATCTTTTGAAAAGGACCCGCCATCCAGCCGTGAGACCGTTATCAGAGCGAGGGGGCCGAATGGTCATTCATTGTCCTTGGGTGCGTGGCTGAATTGAGAATCCGTGGTGAGGGTTCTGTTTGTTTCGTTGTTATTATTGTTGTTGTTGTTGCTGTTGCTGTTGTTGTTGTTGCTGTTGTTGTTGTTGCTGATGTTGTTGTTGTATTTGTTGTGGTTGTTGTTGTTGGTGTTATTGTTGTTGTTGGTGTTGTTGATGTTGTTGTTGTTGTTGTTGAACATTATTAATTCTAAAGAATAATTATTGTTGGGACCCCTGGTGCGCGCCCCCCCCGCCGCGCCTAGGCCGCAGCCACATTTTCATCATTTTCGTGAGGAAGTCTCAGGCAAAACGATGTGATCCAGATCCGGTTGTTTTGTTCCCCCCCGCTTTCCCTTGCAAAAAGCACTATAAAATGACATTTCTTGTTCTAACATAACCACATTTCAAGAATCCCTTGCAAAAAATAAGGTGACTTTTAGTGCCAAGTAAAAGAAATGATAACTGTTACATGTGTCGGGCGGCGTTGGGCCGTACAGGATTGTAGTGCACGATGTTGCCTTTTCCGAGGGTTAAAACTGAGGCCTCAGTTTTAACCCTCAAGCGGACCAGGTCACCGAAGGCCCCCGACCAGGAGCCCTGCCAAGGGTGGGGCCCCTTTGCGGCCTCCTGAGGTCGCCGGCCGGGGGTTCCCACTGCTTGCGTCGGTGACCTTCTGGGGCCCCCTTGCGGCCTCCTGAGGTCACCGGCCGGGGGTTCCCTCTGCTGTTGCATCGCATTGTGTTGCATAGCATCTTTGCTGCCACTGTGCTCATGCTGTTCCGTGGCCATTTTGGCTCAAGTGGCCAAACTGGTGCTCATTCTTATTGACCGTGTGATTTCTCAATCTCGTGCGCGCACCCCGCGCGCGGCTGCAGCGCGGGCGCCGCGCTGCTTTGGGCCCGCAGGCGGGGCCGGGCCATGGTTGACCCGTCCGCCAGCGAGCTCCGGGGGTTGAACAACCTCCAGGACATCCAGAACTGGGTCGGTCTCCAGCCCACTGTGTGGGCGGCTTTGCAGTCCGAGCTCGGGGAGGTTGCGCAGATCCGCGAGGTCGTCCTCATTCCTCCTCATGCTTGGATCGCCGGCGTGGCGGCCGCCCGGGTGCAGGATGCCACCCCTGAAGGCGGGGACCCCCCACCGCCCCGTCCTCTCCGTGGCGTCGAGTTGGGGCATGCGCGGGGGTTTCGTCGCGTCTGCCGGCTGCGCCTCGGACTACCTGCCGACGAAGAAGGCGAGGGCTCCCCTTCTGGGGGCGGCGGCGGAGTGGCGGCGCCGGGGAACCCTCTTGGGCCCCCGGAGGTCGTCAATGCGAGCTCCATCAGGAAGGTCAAGATGTCGACCATCTTCGACCAGGCGGACGACTCCGAGATCGCCCCCTGGTCGGCCCAACGGACGCGAACGGTCATGGCGGCCTTCAAGGCGGCCAACGACGACGAGGACCCCGAGCCAGACGAGGACGTCACTGGGGACCAGCTGGCGGCCTTGGAGCATCGCATCCAGACGGGCGCGTGCCCCTGCCCCGACTTCGGGGTGTGGCGGCCGTACGGCCAGCGGTTCGCGCGCACCCTCAAGCTGGTCGTGCATCACATCACGCCGGCCGGCGACTACAGGCCTTACGAGGTGCCAGGGCCGCCGACGTTCGCGGAGTGGCTGCCTGCGTTCCGAGTTTTCTCGGTCGGCATGCGTGCGCTCGGGGCCGCCACGACCACGAGGCTCCAGCTGTACCAGAACAAGATCTCCAAGTTCAACAACACCTACGGCGAGGTCTGTTGGTGGTTGGTCGCGCTGGCGGATCAGCGGATGCGATCCGAGCGCATGGAGCGCATCAGGAGGCGCGCCGAGGAAGAGTACGCGGCTGCGCAGGTTTCGGGGGCGCCGCACGCCTTCGACCCGAAGATGCCGTGGGACTACTGCTTCAAGGCCGCCGCTGCCGACTCCGATTTCTGGGATGAGGAGCTGGGGCGCAAGGCGACGCTCTGGGTCACCCACCTCAGGACCAGGCAGCAGCTCATCGACGACGGCACTGGGCATCCCGGCCCTGGCGGAGGCCCCAGCGGAGGCCCAGGCGGAGGCTCGGGAGGAGGTGGAGGCGGCGGCACAGGCGGCAACGGCGGCGGCAAGCGCGGTGCGAAGCGCGCCTGGGGGAGCCAGGACCGCGCAGCCTCGGACTCCAGCCAGTTTGGAGGCAGCGGCCGCGGTCGCAGCGGAGGACGCGGCGGGGGCCGTGGCGCCGCGGGCGGCGGCAAAGGCAACGCGAAGCATCCGGACGGCAGGTGGCGTGGGGACGAGAGAGGCAAGCCGCTTTGCTGGGCGTGGAACCACAACGCCAATGGGTGCAGCGAGGTGTGCGCCAACGGCAGGGTGCACGCCTGCGAGTGGTGCAGGTCCCCAAAGCACAGATCCATCGAGTGCCGCCAGAAGCCTGACGGGTGGTCGCCGCCCCGTTGACTATCTCCCCAGGCAGGCGAGCGCGGCCGTCCAGAGTCGAGCGAACGGCCAGCGGACCCGCTGGGGAAGATGCGGAAGACAGAACTGCTCGACGAGGGCGGCGGCGCGTCGGTGCGTCAGTTGGGCACCCGCCTTCGGCAGATTTTCGGCTGCGCGGGCGATGCCTCGGCGCCCGCCGATGCAGGCGCCGCCCCGGGATCATCCGGCGCCGCGGAGTCGGTGCAACGCCCCCCCACACACTGGAGGCAAGGAGGAGGCACCAGGAGCAGGAGCCGCTTGCAGGAGAGAGCGAGGAGCGGCAGGCGTCGCTCTCCCTCCCTGGAGAGCCGCCGGAGGAGGAAGCACGGCGGAAGAGGGAACGGCTCCCCGCCGAGCCGTGGGCGTCCTGTCCTTGCTGACGCCTCCGCGGGCGAGGCTTCCCGGGTCAGGGATCGGACAAAGACGCAGCGATGCTTCCGCCCTCGGTCCGATCAGGGAGCGCGCGGCAGGGGCGGCAGGCAACGCTCCGCCTCACCAGAGGGCGCACCCGGCCAGGGTCACCGAGAGCACAGGCACGACCCGCTGCCGCACCGGGGGCGTTCGGTTCTTGCCGGCGCCTCTGGAGGCAGCCCTCCCCGAGTGGAGAAGCATGCGGACCAGTCGCGGGGCACCCGCCCTCGAGCCCGCTCGCGCTCAGCTGCCGGTCGGGCCGCGCGGATCGACGACCTCCGCGCGAAGCGCGACCGCTTGCAGGAGGTCATCCGCCAGCGGAAGGACCGGTTGCGCCTGGCCGGGGTGCGCCAGGAGGCCGAGGCGTCTGGGCGGGGTCGAGCCGCGCAAGACGCAGGCGGACGATCACCCCCAAAGGCACCAGCGGGCACGTCGCTTGCCAACCCGACGGCTGGCTCCCGGGCGGCGCGGCGGGCAGAAGAGAACGAGGCGTGCATCGGCGGGCTCCGGGCGCCGTGGAAGGCCGTCAAGAAGCTCCCGATGCTCGCGGAGACCGGTCGGAAGATCGGGGCCTTCCTCGACGAGTTCTTGGACCAGCATCCCGATTTCCTCGACCTCCCCGACGGCGGCGAGCGCGCTCAGGAGCTGGTCCGGGATCCGCGCCTTCGCGCGGCGCGGGAGGACTTGCGTCGCGCCCTCGGCGCGAAGGAGGCCAAGGCGCATAAGCGGACGCCCTGGAAGCGGGACATCGTCGAGGCGCACGTGGCTGCCTCGCAGGACCCGGAGGTGCACCTTGGAGATTGGCTTCGGGACGGCGCCCCCATCGGCGTGGCCAGACCGGTGCCGAGCTGCGGGATCTTTCCCCAACTCGGCCCGGCCGCGAAGGAGCGCACGCAGGCGCATGAGGTGCTATCGTTGCTGGAGGCGCACGGCAACTACAAGAGCTTCGAGGAGGCCAGGGTGCACGCGGAGCCCGAGATCGAGAGGATCATCAAGGAGGGTTTCGCGGTCAGGTTCAAGTCCTGGAAGCAGGTCGTCGGCACTTACGGCCCGGTTGCGGCGTCCAGGCTCGCTTGCATCGTCAAGGACCGGAAGGACGGCACGAAGAAGGCCAGGATCATCATCGACCTCCGCAGATCGGGCGTCAACAGGTGCGTGCAGGTCGACGAGAGGATTGTGCTTCCGCGCCCGAAGGACATCCTCAGCAATGCCATGCACCTTCTGCGCCACGCCGCGGAGGACGCGGAGGTCGAGGCGATGGCGTTGGATTTCAAGGACGCCTTTCACACGCTGCCAGTCCATGCAGACGAGCTCCCGTATGGCGTGGCGAAGGTCTTTGACGGCGAGTACGTGGTGTTTCGTACGGTGGTCTTCGGCGGCGAGGCGAGCCCGCTGCTCTGGGGCCGCGCGGCGGCGTACGTCATGCGCGGTGCGCAGTCGATCTTCGAGCCGGAGCATCTCCTGGGCGAGTGCTACGTCGACGACCCCCTGGTGCTCGCCGTCGGCACGGCCGAGACGCGGAGGCGGCGGTTCGCCAAGTTCCTCCTCTGGCCCATCCTTCTGGGACTGCGGCTTTCTTGGGCCAAGGTCTCGCGGGGGAGGCGGGTCGAGTGGTGCGGCGTGGAATACCGCCTCGTCTCGCGGTACGTCGTGCAGGCGGTGCTGGCGCAGGCTTTCGCGCAGGAGTTCAAGGCGGAGATCGAGCAAGCGACGAGGCGGCCGCTCATTACGCGGTCGGAGCTGCGGCGCATCGCGGGGAGGGCGTCGTGGGCGACAGGTCTGGTGCCGACGATGCGCTCTTTCATCGACAGCCTGTGGGCCACGCTGGCCGACCTCAATGCCGCGTCCAAGGGGGATTCGGGGATCCCCTGGATCGGCAGGGACCCCCAGCCAGCTGCGCAGACCTCGCGCATCATTGTCGCGTTGGCGTGGTTGCATGCCTTCCTTGAGGGCGTTGTCACGGGTGGTGATCCTGGTCGGACGGTCGACGTCAGGGAGTGGTTCCGGCAGCCGTCCATCGAGATCGTCTGCGATGTTTCCCCGTGGGGCCTGGGGGCGGTCCTATGGGTCGACGGGGCCGCTCGCGCTTACCTTTTCGACGAGGTCGGCCCGGCGGACGTCGAGGAGCTGGGGGTCGAGAAGGGTTCGTGCAAGGCCCAGGCGGTCCTGGAAGCGCTGGCCATTGCGGTCGCGGCGCGGACTTGGCTTCCCAGGTGGGCGCAGCACCGGACTGGCGTTCGAGTCAAGAGCGACTCCATGGCGGCGCTCGGGGCCCTTGGTAAGATGGCCAGTCCAACGCCCGCCATCAACAAGATCGCCAGGGAGATCGCCCTCGACGTGGCGCAGAGTCGGTACGGCATCGACGTGCTGGAGCACGTGCCGGGCGAGCTCAACGACGTCGCGGACGCACTGTCGAGGGCCTTCGAGCCGGGCGGGCGCTTCGCGCTCCCCGAGGTCTTGCGGCAGGCTGGGTGCACGCGGACTCCCGTGGCCGCGCGCGACGGGTCGTGGTGGCGCTCCATGGCCCTCACGCGGACGGTGCTGGACAAGGCTGCTGGCGGGCGACGGTGCCGCGACGAGCCACGCTCGGCGCCTTGAGCGGAGGCGCGCCGGAGGTCCCGCCAGGCGAGCTATCGGAGATGCCTCCCCGCCTGGGCGCGACAAGGGCGCAGGCTCGTTGGAGCGGGGCCTCCCGCGAGTGATCCGCGTCGTCAACGCTCCCGCCGACGCGCTGCACGAGGGGCCGAGGCGGGTCGACGGCGCGCAGGGGCGCCGCGGCCGCGAGGAGGAGGAGAGGAGTAGCGGCGGGGTACCGGATGCTCTCTTGGGCCCGGGACCCGCGCCAGCCAGGCGAAGGTGGGATGAGACGGCGGCAGCGGCGCCAGCCAAGCGTGCCTGCTTGGCAGGGGCGCTGCAGGTCATCGGATGTCCGCAGCGCTCCGCTGCCGCCGCCGCAGAGTTCAGGGAAGCCACCCTGGCGGTGACGACGAGGCCCGTGATGGACAGCTACACGAAGGCCCTCGTCTCGCTGGCCAGGGCGGGCGGCTTCGATTTGCTGCCGTTTACGCCAGAGAAGGCTTACAGGATCGGCGGCGCGCTGCGTGCGGCCGGGTACAGGTCCACAGCGTGCTATCTGGAGAGGTATAAGCAGATGCACGTCGAGGAGGACTACGATTGGTCGGTCAGGCTGCACGGTGTGATGAGAGGGTGCCGACGTGCGTCGATCAGGGGCCTCGGGCCGCCGACGCACGCGGCGGTCTTCACCCTGGAGTCGTGGCTGGTGGCTGCCCATGTGAAGCGAGCGCACGCCCAGGGCGGTCCGACCGAGCCCGGTCGCTTCATCACTGTGGGCACTTGGTGGATGCTGCGGGAGATCGAGGTGGCCCTCCTCACAATCGAGCGCGTCCGCTTCCTGGAGGAGACGGACTCAGTTGCCGTGGACCTGGGCGTCACGAAGAAGGATATCCAGGGCTGCGGATGCACCCGGGTGCACTCGTGCATCTGCCAGTGCAGGCCGGAGTGGCAAGCCATCTGCCCAGTGTGCGTCGTCCGAGCCCAGCTCCAGAAGCGACGGGCTGACCAGGCGGAGCCTTGCGACCCATTGTTCGCGGACGCCGCCGGCTACGCGGTCGTCAAGAGGGCCGCGGTCGCGACCATGCGCGCGCTGCTTGTGCCGGAGGGCGCTGGACAGGTGAACGGCCACTCCTTGCGGCGCATGGGCGCGCAGCTGCTCGCCGCGGCAGGCGTCGAGCAGTGGCTGGTCGAGTGGTTCGGCCGATGGGGCTCCGACGCCGTCAAGCGCTACGTCGAGGACGCGCGGTCGCGGGCCCCGCAGGCACGGTCTCTGGCGCTTCGGGCGGCCCGAAGCGATGCCAACGTGGAGCCGGGGCCTGCGACGATGGCCGCGGCCGGGGCGCGCGATGCCCCGCTGGCGCGCGAAGGGGAGGAGGAGCGCCAGGGCGGCGCAGCTGGCCCGATCGGCCTCGAGGAGTTGGTCGGGCGCCTCGTGGAGGAGAGGATGCGGGAGAGGGAGGAGAGGTTACGCCTCGTCTCCTACGCTCTCGGCAAGACACATGTCGCGAGGGCCCGCGCGTGCGAGTCGAGAGTGCCCCGCGAGCGGAGCTCGCTGTGCGGCTGGCATTTCGGAGGTCTCCCACAGTCGGCCCTCACCTTCCATGAGGGGCGCGCTGACTTGCATGACGCCTGCAGGAAGTGCGTCCGGCTCGCGGCCTCGCGTGGCTGGCCGGTGGACTGCGCTGCAGCCGGCGCCGGCGGCGAGCGTGGCGAAGGCAGCTCGTCCTCGCAGTCATCCGATTCCGGTTCTGGGTCGGACAGGCCGCCGTCGGACGATGCCGAGGCGGGTCGAGGCGAGACCGAGGACGAGGCTCCCGGTGCTCGTGCTTGACGTCTCGCCGTCCTGGCTCTCTTGGGCAGGGCGGGGGACAGTGTGCTTCATTTTGGGGCCGAGTTTTGGAACGTACGCTGGGTCGGGTCGCGGCCAGGGCGGGCGTGCCAGTCGCGAGCGACGCCGGCGCCCCGATCCAGGCGCACTGAGGAAAAGAGGAGCTTCGAGCTTCGACCTCTCTCACCCCACCCTCCGTCCTCTGTCTTCGGCGGGCGGGGGGGGTATCACATGTGCAACAAGTTATCGTGACTTTTAGTGCCAAGTAAAAGAAATGATAACTGTTACATGTGTCGGGCGGCGTTGGGCCGTACAGGATTGTAGTGCACGATGTTGCCACTTCCGAGGGTTAAAACTGAGGCCTCAGTTTTAACCCTCAAGCGGACCAGGTCACCGAAGGCCCCCGACCAGGAGCCCTGCCAAGGGTGGGGCCCCTTTGCGGCCTCCTGAGGTCGCCGGCCGGGGGTTCCCACTGCTTGCGTCGGTGACCTTCTGGGGCCCCCTTGCGGCCTCCTGAGGTCACCGGCCGGGGGTTCCCTCTGCTGTTGCATCGCATTGTGTTGCATAGCATCTTTGCTGCCACTGTGCTCATGCTGTTCCGTGGCCTTTGGCTCAGTGGCCAAACTGGTGCTCATTCTTATTGACCCCACCCTCCCAGGCCCTTCGAATGCGTGGACGACCCCCACCTCTCCAGGTGTGGCCTTTTGGCCCACGTGGAGGCGCTCAGGCGTGCAGCACGGCGCGGTAACGCCGAGAGGGGTGAGTTGTGTGATGTTGTGAGGGGTGCGTTCACTTCCGAGGGGGCGGGCGTGCGGGCGTGCCAGTCGCGAGCGACGCCGGCGCCCCGATCCAGGCGCACTGAGGAAAAGAGGAGCTTCGAGCTTCGACCTCTCTCACCCCACCCTCCGTCCTCTGTCTTCGGCGGGCGGGGGGGGTATCACATGTGCAACAAGTTATCGTAAAGTGGACATTCGCGCGCGCAAGACGAAATCCTTCCAAAACCTTAGTTTTCGTAGCGATTTTAACATAAAAACATCAAAAAACCAATGGTTTTTAAACAAAAAATTGTCAAACTTTCATCCCGCGCGCTCTTGCGGATTCGTAGGAAACCCAACACTTTTTAAACATTTCTGTCAAACGGGCTTTTGCGAGGAACTTTTTCGAACTTCTGCAACAACGGTTGCGCACCTGCCAGGGCCATCATCCCTGTCAAATAATACCATGCGGGACACATTCGTTTTTTCTTCGCGCGCGCACGCCGTCGTCGTCGGCCGCGGGGCCCTGAATAGTAGCCACGGTCGTCCGCATGCCACGAAGTGAAGTGTCCGAACGTCATAGGGCGGGAAGCTGGGTGTGGGTGGTGGCGAAGAGTCGTTTGGAAATTTGGTAGAGCTTGAACCGGCCCCCCCACAAAGTGGGGGTATTGCCCGCCTCCTATGAAAACCCTGGCACTGGTGAGAACGGTGTGTCCCCACGTGCTAGTAATTGTTGTTGTTGTTGTTGTTGTTGTTGTTGTTGTTGTTGTTGTTGTTGTTGTTGTTGTTTGTCGTCGTCGTCGTCCCCCCCGCGACCCACCCGCGACCCACCCGCGACCCACCCCGCGACCCACCCGCGACCAACCCCGCGACCCACCCCGCGACCCACCCCGCGCGACCCACCCCCGACCCAACCCGCGACCCACCCGCGACCCACCCCGCGCGACCCACCTGCGACCCACCCGCGACCCACCCGCGACCCACCCTGCGACCACCCCGCGACCCACCCCGCGACCCATCCACGACCCACCCGCGACCCACCCGCGACCCACTTGCGACCACCCCGCGACCCACCCCGCGACCCACCCGCAACCCAACCGCGACCCACCCGCGACCGATCCACATTGGTTTGAAGAAAAAATCGGTGCCTGCGGCGGGCTCATTGTATAACTTGTGAAACTTTGGCACCTGCGGCGGGCTTCTCCAGAGTCTCGCAGACTGCCAACGTCCCCACCGCCCCCTCACTCTTAACCGCATCTGCGGGGTGCTACGTAAATTGTAAGCTTAAGCATCATAAGGGGTGAGGAAGTCTTAGGCGAAACGCCCAACCCGCCCTGTCGACACGTCTGGGGGTGCGACAGGGGGGGGTTATTCATAAAGAGAAGGAATGGAGGAGGACTTTCATATCCAGACAAGGCAACGAAGTCGCGACGGCTGTTGTTTCGTTGAAAAACTGGCCCGGGGAAAGGGTCGATACCCCCTGGGCAGCTTTCATTAACTAAATGCAGGCGGAGGAGGAGAAGGAGGAGGAGGAGGAGGAGGAGGGAGGGGAAGATGAGGAGGAGGAGGAGGAGGAGTAACAGACAGTTTAGTTTGAGCGTCGACCGGCCCTAGGAGGGGATGGGGGATATGGCTTCGTGCAGCTGAACTCTAGAGCCAACAGCTACAGCTACAGGAAGAGGACGAGGAGGAGGAGGAGGAGCAGGAAAAAGGAGAAGGAGGAGGTGGAGGTAGAGGAGTGGGAGAGTGGTTCGTCGCAGTTGCCGTCCCCGCCGTTCCATCGCTCCCTCTCCCCTCCCTCACCATTCCAGGGCTCAGGGGCCTACCTCGCCCCCAAGGGGGTTTCTGTTGTCTGCAGTGTTTCGACAGACGCCCTCGTTTGCTCACCCTCCCCGGGAGCGGCCGCCCCTCGGGGGGGGGCGAGGTGGGGTGGCAGCATCCTGGCAAGGAGTCCGATGCCAGTTGAGTCTGCGTTCGGAAGAGGATCCGAAGCGAGGGCTCCAAACACGTGCACCATGTGCCTACAATGAAGCGCAGCCCACCTCTGCCACAGGCATCGCAGGCAACCCCTGCGGCGGACGTGTCCCGCCCACCTTCGAGAGTTAAAGCCGCGTCTCGCGGCAACTCCTGGAGGCGAGGAAAGCCCTCGGAACGCATGTTCCGGCGGAGCGGTTCGGGAACACGCCTCGGGCCCTCGCCTCCAAGTCCTATCTCGCGCACCTTTTCGCTGTGCGAGGCCTCCAGCACTGCCCGCGGCGGCCCTTCCCGCCGCGGGTAAAGACCTTCCCTGACTCGGGACAAGTTTTCCCGTCCTTTGCGGCTCGGGACATCGCAGGCCCCCTGCACATGCCTGACGTCCGTCGTCGCGTACAGGCCGCAACACGTGCAAAAGTGCATTTGATACATGGGCCGATAGCTCAGCACATGAGATGGGTGTATCTCCGCGCCAAGACCGCCAGGGCACACCGTAGGGCTCCCGCGCGAGGCTTGGTCGAGGCACTCGGGGCGCTCTCTCGCACCCTGACATCCAGTGGCACAAGATTCAGCCGCATACTTCTGATGCGCTAATTGCTTGCAGTGTCTGCTCTGCCACTTACACCCCATCTTCTGGAGGCTGTTGGCAGAGGCCTCCATCAAAAGCTTGAGGCGGGAGAGGGGGACCTTCCTTCCTCCAGGCTTCTCCTCTCTCTCCGCTCGACTGCTGTCCGCCTCCAGCGACAGCTCCAGGGCGCTAAGAAGGGGGTCACATGTTGAAAACGACCCGCCCCCCTCCATCTTCGAAACTGTTGCAAACTTCGAAGACGAACGTGCAGTGCGCTAAGCCGAGAGCCACATTTTGAAAACGACCTGCTCCCCTGTTGCGTCTTGACAGCGCTAACTCATGTCAGAACATTAGTATGTCGCGTCGGAACACCATTCCTGGGATTGTGAACCATGCGATTTGCTTGAAGCTGTTGCTAACTTCAAGGCGAATGTGCGCGGCGCTAAGACGAGATCCACATTGTGAAAAGGAGTTGCCATCCATCCACCAAGCTGCTGCAGACTTTGCAGGCGAACTTGCGCGGCGCTGAGGCGAGAGTCACTTTTTGACAAGGGCCAGACCTACTTATTTGAGTATCTGCAAACTTTTACGACGAACGCGCGCGGCGCATTGGCCAGCGTCATCATTGCCACCGTCATTGTCATCACGATCAGCTTCATTACCATCGTCGTCGACATTGCCTCCACCGTCGGCAATAACAGCATCACAATTATCATCATCATCATCATCACCACCACCATCATCACCATCACCATCACCATCATCATAGCCATCATCATAGACATCATCATCATCAGCATCATCATCGTTGCATGTGCAGTAGAGGCGGTCACGCTCAGAAGCAGTCATACTTCCTTCTCCTTTCAAAAGAAAGACTGCCCACATTTCCCCCTCCCCCAGGTTGACGGGGCCCCGTGGGACACTGCACCCCATGCCAACTAGCGTTTACCCCCACACTCGTCTATCTCAGAGGATTATGTGTCAAGACTTCCCGTGCACCAGAACTGCACCACGTACATACGCACGCACACTTCGACATCATACCAAACTCATTACTTGTTGTAAGCATTCTCGCAACAACATGATCACCCCAAGGTGTTTCATCACAGATCTTGCAGACGTTCTGGTCGCGCGCACTGGCTGAGAACATGTGATATCATATGCATTGCGCAATCTCGTCCAGAACTCGCATCTTCAGTTCGCCACACGGTGTTTCCGTGTTGATACAACATGCGCCCAGTTCACGAATCCGTATCGACTAAATTGTACCATTGGACCACAGGCACGCGCGCTGCAACGCAGACAATGTTGAGCGATGCAAACTTGTGCGTATGACAAGCCCCGCGTTTGGTCAACAATAACTCTGGCAGATGTCTTGCATTTCCGCGCGCGCTCTTCCGCACCATCAGCCTTCTCAGCGCCGCCGGCCCACCGCCGTTATCGTCATCGTCAATCGTCACCATTACTGCCATCATTCGTTAATCGCCTTCATTGCCGACACATGGACATCGTTATCGTTATCGTCGTCACCAGCATCTGCGCCGTGATCGGCCGTGTCGTCGTCATCGTCATCATCGCCACCACCATCGCTATTGTCATCACTGTTGCCGCCGTTGTCGACGTCATCACGATATCACGCCCGCCCGAGCCATCGACCCGCACTGAAGTGCCCGCGCGCCAGCGCTGCATTTGAGACGCGCTGTGAGAACTCCACCGGTAAGCGCCATCGCAGCCGTATCAGTTGTGCCGTCAAGAAACGACCAGGGAAGAGAAACTTGTCCTGGGGGAAAGCCCCATGGTCTAGGACCCGTTGCCTTCAGGACCCGTTTCCTTTCATATCAAATCTTTCGCCTCCTTCCGTCCCTCTTCCTTCCCTTCTCCTCACCTCCTCGTCCTCCCCCTCGCCCCCCGCCTACCCTTCACCTCCTTCGCTTCCTACTCCCCTACCCCTCCTCCTCGTCCTCCTCCTCCTCCTGCTTGTCATCCTCCATCCGTCTTCCTTATCTATAACTCTTCCGTGTCGCATCCCGAGACGTGCCCGTAGGTGGCGTTTCGCTGGAGACTTCAACATTTCTGATCCTTTAGCTTGAAAGTTGCAACAGCTTCACTGATGTATGGCGGGCCGTTTTCAAAATGCGGCTCTCGCCCTAGTGCTGCGCAAACTCGTTTTTAAAGTTCGCCAAGGGTTTCAAGAATGGAGGGCGTGCGGTTTCCAAAATGTGGTTCTCGCCCCGGCGCCATGGTCGACGTCCCAGAAATGGTGTTGTGGCACGATGTAGAACTGTCAGGGCGCAACTGTCATGTTGACTCGCGGAACTGAGCTCCCAGGAATGATGATGTTGCACGGTTCACGATTTTCAGACGGTTATTTTCCAGCGGGTTATTTCCCGAAGTGAAAGCATTTTGTTCTAGGGACCTGTGAGGTTTTTTTCTTCGCAGCATCTTTGACGAGTCTTGGGTTTAGACTGGTCCTCGTCCCCCTCCGCGTCCACCTACTCCTCCTGGATTCCTCCTCCTAGTCCTCTTCTTCTTCCTCCTCCTCCTCCTATGGTCATCCCTCCGCCTCCTTCGCCTCCTTCTCTTCCTTCCCTCCCGCCCAGGCGCCAGGCAGGGCGGCGAGGAGGAGGAGGAGGGCATTACGCGGCAGCCCAGGCAGGCCAAGGGCGCCCTGAACGTGTCCGGCGAGCTCGGGGAGCTCTGTGGCCTCCTGGGGGGGATCGTCGTCGTCGTCGTCGTCGTCGTCGTCGTCGTCGTCGTCGTTGTCGTCGTCGTCGTCGTCGTCGTCGTCGTTCTCGTCGTCGTTGTCGCAATGGTCGTCGTCGTCGTCGTGGTGGCCGTGTTGGCCGTAGTCGTTGCGGTCGTGGTTGCCGTCGTCGTCGACGCCGTTCAGAGGAGGAAAAGGTGCCGATACCGATATCATTTCCTTTTCGCCCTGTTTAGGCCTCCTGCGAGGCCCTCGTCGCCACGGCTGGATTCTCCACGAATTTCTGGTCAGAACGCCGTCTGGGAAAAAGTCCAGGGAGTAGCGATATCGGAGTATTTGTTGTCCCCTCATTGGTGGTGGTGGTGGTTGTGGTTCGCCGCCGTCGTCTTCGTCGTCGTGGTTGCCGTCGTCGTCGCCGTATTTGTTCAGAGGCGAGAAAGGTAATGTCAGCCCCAGAAGTACAAAGTGAGGACCCTCCCCGTCCTCTCGGGGGGGAGGGGTAACAGCGCTCCCAGCGGCTGCGACGGCTACGTAGCTGCGGCGTGTCAGCTGTTGCTACCTGGTATGATTCACGCGATGTCGAGAGACGTGGCTCCGGCGATCTTGGGCGCCCAAGCTTTTATTGCTATTAACCCGACTGTTTGTTGTGCACAAAAGCCGTGGACTCAGATAACCGATGCTGGTAGAATTTTGGACTTTCGCTTTTTGGGGGCCGCCTGGGAAGCCTTCGTCGCCGCGGCTTGAGTCTCCTCGGAATTCTGGTAGGACCCGCCCGCCCGATACGCCTCCTGTACCTTGTCATGGACTTCGATTTACCCAGAAGCTGGGATAATGAATGTGTCCCCCATATGGATACGCTCATAGACGCCGAGGGTGGGTATCGAGGGTTTGGGGTACACATTTTGAATGGCATGCGAGCAAGCAATGCAGAGCGAGCCAAAATGAACGCGTTGACCTCGCACTCATGATTCAGGATATGCGCTCTTGGTTATCATTGTCCATTGCGCATTGTGCCTTTCCATTTGGATTGCCCCCCTCGACTCCCGCATCGTTTTCATAGCTGAGAAAGTCTTGAGGCTCCAACTGTGTTTCAGGGCCCCGTGGATACAGCAAATAACAACGGTTCCTGCTTCAGACTTCCTTGCAACGCATTCCGGGAGCGCACTCTCGCTCGAGACCTCTTGGCAATTCACTCAAGAATAGCTCTCGCCTGAAGTAGGACAACAATCTGTTTAGGGTTAGCGCTTTCGTCGCTCTGGAATCGCACTCTCGCCTATGACATCCTCAGAATTTGCTTTCGATTCCCCACTCTCGCCTCAGACTTCCCTGCAATTTAGCAAGGGATCGCACAGCCGAGCCGCCCGATAGGGTCCGCCTGCCTGACCCGCCCGTCAGGGCCTGTCCGCAAGGCCCTCCCGCCCGGCCCGCCCGCCGGGTCGTCCGCCGCTGTGATCCGCCCGGCCCGGCCGCTTCAATGTCCCGCCCGCCCTACTCGCCCGTCAGGGTCCGCCTGCCCGACAGGGCCATCAGAGCTCGGCGGGCCGACTTTCGGGCCGGACGAAAGGGGGGGGACTGGGAAAGGGGGGGTTACGAAATTTGCTGCATGCAGCTGGTTTCGGCCCCACCGAGGGGCCCATTCCTCGATACATAGGCGCCTCGGGCGCCGGGAGGCGCCGGGAAAATCAGTTACGTGAGCTGATTCTCAAACCCCCCCTTTGCTATCCCCCCCTTTCGCCCGACCCGAGACTTGCCCGACCCGCCCATTGGGGTTCGCCGCCTGACCCCCCGTTCGCGTCCATCCGCTCGCTTGCTTGAAAGTTGCATGCCGTCCGCATACCATGTCCCGCCCGCTCGGCCAATCCGATCCGCCCACCAAGGTCTGCCCGCCTGGCCCGCCCACTAGGGCCCGCCCGCCCGACCCGTTTTTCTCACTTTGTTTGGTTTACCCCAGAGCTGGCACGAGAAAGAGAGCCCCCCAAAGGTCCACGTTCACAAACGAAGAAGGTGGGTGTTGCTGGAGAGTTGTGGTGATCCTCCAAGTCGGTGCCGATTTTGTTTTTCCAGTTGAAATCGTCCCGTTCGGCTCCTGAATTGTTTTTCACCCAGGAAATCTGTGCTGGTCAAACGTCGTTGTTGGCCACTGGACTACAAGAGCAGCGGCTTTCGTTTGATTCTTCTCAACAATGTCAGAGTGAGGGGGCCAAACGGTCCTTGATGGTCCCTGTGCGCGTGGCTGAAGTGGAATTCCGCTGTGCGGATTGTTGTTGCGTTGTTGTTTTGTTGCGTTGTTGTTGTCGTCGTCCTCGCCCGCGACCCGCCCGCGACCCACATCGCGACCCACCCCGCGACCCATCCCGCGACCCACCCTCGACAAACCCGCGATCCACCCACATTTCTTTGACGAAGGAATCGGCGCCAGCGACGGGCTCGTTGTATGATTTGTAGAAAATCGGCGGCTGCGGCGGGCTTCTTCAGAGCCTCGCAGACAGCCGACGATCCCGCCGCCCCCTCACTCTTAGCTGCAACTGCGGGATGTACTCAGGACTCGCGCTCTTGCTCGAGACGTCCTGTCAAATCATTCACGAATCGTGTAGCCTGGGACTTGAACTACTGATGAATTCGCGTTTCCGCCTCTCTGTAATCGTACTCTCGCCCAGGATTTTCTCACAGTATATTTGTAATCGCGCTCTCGCTCGAGACTCTTCACACACTGAAGAGGAATCATGTTCCTTTGCCCCGCCCATTTGACCCGCCCGTCAGGGCCCGCACGGTTCGCCTGCTAGGGTCCGCCTGCCCAGCCCCCCCCGTTCGGATCCGCTGGGTCGATTGTTTGGGAGCCCACCTGAAGGTCCCGCCCGTCCCACCCGCCTGTCCGGGTCCGCCCGCCCGACGCGCCCGTGAGGGTCCGCCCGCCGGACCCGCCCGACCCGACCGGCAGCGTCTGCCGCCCGAACCGCCCTTCAGAGGATCCGCTGGAGCACCTCTCCGGACGCCACGGGCCGCCTACCATTGAATGTCCCGCCATCGCGCCCCGCCCGCCCCGCCCGTTGGGGGTCCGCCCCCCGACCTTCTTGTCTCTGTCTGTCGGGGCTTGACCTGGGAGCTGGCATGAAAGAGAAGCTCCTTTAGGGGGGCACGTACATAACCAAGAGGACGGGAGTCGAGGGTCTGGGGTGTACATGTTGAGTGACACGCTGGCAGTTCGGAGCGACCCGTCTTGACGTGATTGTTGAACTCCCATTTTTGGAAATAGTTCTTCTTGCTCCCCTCTCTTGTGCGCCCTGTGCTTTTTCATTCGAAGTGCCCCTCCAGGGCCTCGCACCTAGTTTTTTGTCCCAACCATCCTGTGGTGTTGGGTCCTCGTTTTGAAGAGGCAGCGCCCACCGTTCTCCTTCCTCCGCCCCCTCCTCCCTCCTCACCTCACCTCCCGCCGCCCCCTCCCTCCTCCCCCTCCTCCCTCCTCCCATTCCTGCTTCTGCTCGCCGCATGTACACCATGTCGGCACACCCCTCACGAGGATCGTGGCCCCAGAGGGAGCTCCACCGAAGTCCCCAGCGGCAGGGTTTGCATGCGTCCCCCCGCCCATTGCGGCGCACCCCTCACGAGGATCGTGGCCCCATAGGGAGCCTCACCGAGAGCAGTACCCACGGTATTCACAGCTGCATATGGTAGGGTCCTTCGCCAGGATAATTCACCAGGGGAAGTAGTCTTGAGGCTCAGGCTGTGTTGTCGGCCACAGGCTTCTAACAACAACCACAAAGTTTCACAATGTATTGAGAGTTCGGGCTTTCGCTTGGATACTCTTCACAATTCATTCAGCACCTGCTCTCTCGCTTCAGACTTCCTTGCACTTTATTCACGAATCGCTTTCTCGGCGGTCTGGACTCGCGCTCTCGCTTGGGAATTCCCGGTAGTATGCTCAGGAACCGCGCTCTCGCCTAAGATGTCCTTGCCATCTCCTCTTGCCACTCCCTCTTGCAGATCCCTGTCGTCCTCCATTTTCCCGCTCGCTCCCTCTTCCCCCTTTCCCTCCTCCCTCACCATAGAGTGCACACGATCGATTGCACAGCATAGATTGTACCACATAGATGGTACCACATCGCTTGCACAACATAGGATGCACCACATATATTGCACCACCTAGATTGCGCACCAACGATTGCACAACATACATTGCCAGGAGTACACTATGTGGGGTCCACGCTGGCTAACACGCATCTGCATATGCCTTATATATACATATATACATACAGACACGATTGCAGTGGCGCTTCGCGCCATGCACATTGGTCCTTGACGTTTGGTATTTAGGCGGAAATGGCAGGAAGGTCCGTGCTGCCTTTTCTGGCATCGCCGTTATAATAATGTTGTTCGTTATCCTCCCTCCATGTTTATTTTTCGTCATGTTCGCCATACCCTGGGCATGCTCCCCGTCCTCCTCAGCTCTTTTGCGGAGGCTTCTCCTTGGAGAACCTCTGGGGGCCTCACCAAAGTTCTCAGGCTTTCTTAAAGCCTTCTGGAGGCCTCCTGGGCGTGTTCTGGGAGCCTCTGGGGCTTCCTCAGGCCAACCTGCCTCTAACCGCGGTCTCCCTGAACGCCCCAGTCACGATTTGGAATGCTTCGGAGGGTGTCTTGGGGCCATCTTGGGCCGCCATGGGGCTCTCTGAGGGCCATCTTGGACCCGTGTTGTGCCGTTTGGGGGCTCTCTTGGACTGCCCGGAAGCCCTTTCGGATGGTTGTGGGGCGATTTTGGAGCCTCCTAGGTGGCTTCGGACGCCCAGAAGACCGCTGTCTTGGAGCGTCGGGAAGCCGAAAAGAGGAGAACCCCAAATTCACCAAGAACCAACGTAAAATCAATGATTTTTCCCTCTTGGGGCCTTCTTGGAGGTGCTCTTGGAGTCCTCTTGGAACGTTTTGGGGCGATCTTTGGGGGTATGACGGCTTCTTGGAGCGCTCTTGTGTTGTCTTAGGGGTCTCTGGGACGTCTCCGAGGACCCCCTTGATCGCCCTGGGTGTGCTGCGAAGGCTTGGCAAAACGCCCTGCGAGGCCCGGGGGGCCGCTTCGAGGCCCGTTCGGAAGGTCCCAAAGCCCCAGATCTCGGGAGTCCGGTTTCGGGGGGGGGGGACGGGTTTTCCCCCCGCCTGGGCTTATAAAAATATAAGAAGAGGAAAATGTATGTATGTATGTATGTATGTATGTATGTATGAATGAATGAATGTATGTATGTATGTATGCATGTATGTATGTATGTATGTATGTATGCATGTATGTATTTATGTATGTATGTATGTATGTATGTATGTATGTATGTATGTATGTATGTATGTATGTATGTATGTATGTATGTATGTATGTATGTATGTATGTATGTATATATCGTCACATATATATATGTATATTACCATTCACGGTCACTTTCCGCAGCACGTGGCGGACACCAGTCACGGAACGACGAGCGATGCGCGGAAGAATGACGCCACATTCTTATAGAGACCGCGCCCTGGCAGGCTGCAGAGGCGACGTGCTTGGAGAGGTCGAGGACCTCGAGGAGGACACGGAGTCGCGCGCAGCGCTTCTGGCCGCCAGGGGCGTTGGCGCAATTGGGCAGGGTGATGGGGCAGAGGGGCCAAGATGGCTTAGGAGGGCGGCGAGGAGGGGAGGGGAGGGGAGGACGAGGATGCCCAGGAAACCGAACACACAACACGGATGTTGCGATGTGCACTCCTTTTCAGAGCTCCCTCATGAGCAATATCCGTTTCTCTTGCACTCCTGCGAGTCAGATTTCATGCGCTTGCACGGTTTTGAAACTATGGTCAACGATCATGGGAACATTCGACCTCGCGAAATATCAAACCCGATGCTGCTGCGTGTAGCGCAAGGAATCGCCCTTTTCCATTATTGCGAGTCGCGAGAGTGTGCGAGTTGGAGCACCCTATGGTGCACGATCCATGCGATGAGTGCGCCGAAGTAGGTTGGCGATCCGAATGCGAGCTCTCCCGCTGAGGCCGCAGGTGAAGCTCCCCACAGGGTACGATCTGTATGAGCAGAAAGCGGGGAGGACCGCGTGCGAGCTTGTCCACTAGGGCCGCAGGTGGAGCTCCGATGGAGGGCGATCCGTGTGAGGGGTGTGCCAACATGAGCGGAGGCGCGTGCAAGCACCCCCCTGTCTGGCCGTAGGTGGAGCTCCCTGTGCGTCACGATCCGTGCCATGAGTGCGCCGCAGTACACGAATGAGGGCGCACGAGAGAACGCCCTGTTAGGCTCGAAGGCGGAGGGCCCTGATAGGGGCACGAGCTGTGTGAGTGGCGTGCCGAGCTGTCCGGGGTGGGGCCGATGCGAGCATGCCCAGTGAGGCCGTAGGAGGTGGAGCTTCAAATGCGGCACCGTCCGTGTGAACGGTGCTTCGAAATTGGCACGGGGACCGCACGCAAGCTGCCCCAGTAACGCAGAGGAGGCTCTCTGTGGGTCGCGACGGGCTTGAGGTGCGCCGAAAAAGGCGTGGGCGTGATGCCGTATGCGCGCGCACTCGCTGAGGCCGTCGGTGGAGATCCCTTAATGGACACGATCTGTGTGAGGGGTTTGCTGAAATTGGGGGGTCGCATTCGAACACGTCTATTGAGGCCATAGGTGGGGTTCCCTATGGGACGCTATCGGTGTCAGGAGCGTGACGCTGCATACGAACACACCCGCTGCGGTCGTAGCGGGGGCTTCCTATATGGCACGATCCGTGTCAGGGATGTGCCAGAATGGGCGGGGGACTGCATGCGAACCCACCCGCCGTATGGTGCACGATGCGTGTGAGGGTTGTGCCAAAGTGGGCGGGTGGACTGGCAGCGGCAGCAACTGCTGGCAGCGTCAGTTCAGCAGCAACACGCAGCAGGCATCTCAGCAGCAGCCGCGGTTGGGAGAAGATGGGGGAACGAGATGCGGCAAGCAGGAGGAGGAAGGATACGCTCGGCAGAGCGGAGCGAACGTCAAGATCTAATTCCTCATGCGGCTTGGGAATAACACACCATGAGTTTGAGATGGGATCAATCCTCGCCATGTAGCTGGTCGAAGCTGTCAGAAGCGTGTGCGCGGCACCAGGGCGAGTGCAGGATCTTAAGCGGAGATGCCCTGCATCCATGCAGCTGCTCGCAATCCCTAGCCCTCCGACCATGAATTCTGATGGTGTGCGACCTTTGTACCTGTACACAGTTCGAGCTGTATGATCTCAGCACGAAGCCTCATGACTCATTGGCGATAGCTAGAGTTTAGGGACATCTGGCTGCCCTCATTGTCTGGAGCTGTTTGGGCCTTGGCGCTTTTTCGACGACGAAGTATCAGGCAAGAGCCACACCTTGAATCGATGTTGCGTTTCACCCCTGCAGTGGCTGCTGGACGTTTCACGACTGATAGTCCTAAAAGTTGTGGACCTCCCAGGCGAGGGTAATATTTTGAACACGATCCGTCCTCCACCATGTAGTTGATGAGAGTTTTGAGAGGGGATGTGCGCGGCGCTAGGGTGTGGGCAACTTTTGAACTCCTGTCGCCGTCTCTCCGGGTGGCTGATGGAGCAGTTTAAACAAAGTCGCGGGGCGCCAGGAAAAACACCAGATTGTGTTGGTGGAGCCATCCAACTTTAGGATCCGAGCGTGTGGGGAAGTCTCAAACTAAATGCCTCGACCGCCTTACCCACACATCTGATGGTGCGAGGGGGATGAGGACGCACTGGTACGGAATGTGGCTTTCGTTGTCATGTAGTCCAGTGGCCACCACATGATCCAAGGGGTAGTTTCGACACCGTCTTTTGGGCAGGGGGGGGACACACGCAAAATGGAGGGTATGCAAATAGTAGGAGGTGGAGGAGGATGACGAACGAGGTGCAGGAGTAGGACAAGGATGTGGAGGACGAGTGGGAGGAGAAGGATCGATGAAAGGAGGAGGAGGAGGAAGAAGGATGACGGAGGGGAGGGGGAAACCGAAGTGGAGCGGTTGGCGCAGGCGTATCCCCAGTCAGGATACGCATCCTCGTGGCAGCGGCGATAATATGATCCAGGCCGAGCAGTTGTGAAGGAGGAGGGGGAGGAGAAGTACAACAGGGGCAGGGTCAACCAACGGCAAGCGAGACAGGGCGGGCAAACATAATCACGACTATGACAAGGCGATTGCGGAGCAGGAGGGTGGACGAGGATAGGGTTGTACAACGATGAGAAGAATTAGAGGTCGAGCAGGACGATGGCCCATCGGACGTGGGGTTGGCGCCCGCTGATTTGCACATTGCTTGGGCGCAGACCATTTCCTTACACTCCCCAGCGCGCCTCTGGGCGGAGGAGCGGGGCAATCGTTGTCCAGCAATCGATGTGTGGTTTCTCTCTCTCCCTCCCTGTGTGTTGCGTGATCTTGGCTGGTGCGCGCGCCTTTTTCCAAACCTTTCTACGTCGTGATGCCGCTCGCTTGGCCGCGACGCCAGAAAGCGTTTGTGTGTATGCATTTGTTTTCTTTCGGCCCGCCCACCCGCAACGGTGGAATCCGACGAATCGTGCCTTGGCTCAGTGCTCCCGACGGTGCCTCCACCTCGCCGCTGGAGGAAAAGTGTGCTTCTCTGTGTGTGTGCTTGTCTGTGTGTATGTGTGTGTATGTGCGTGTGCTTGTCTGTGCTTGTATGTGCGTGTGTGTGTGCGTGTGTGTCTGTGTGTGTGCGTGTGTGTGTGTGTGTGCGTGTGTGTGTGTGTGTGTGTGTGTGTGTGTGTGTGTGTGTGTGTGTGTGTGTGTGTGTGTGGGTCTTCTTCGTTGGCATTCGCCATGATCGCTCGACTGCCTGGCCCCTTCAGCGATGGCCCCCCGCTCCTCTTCGTCCACCCTGGTCGGGCCAGCTGTTGGCGCGTTACGCCTTCTTCTCGCGCATCTCGGTCTTGCACCGCCTGGCATTCTTGCTCTGATGCCGCCTGCGCGCGTCGCTTCACAGGGAAGCCAATTTGCTTTGCGGGTGGCTCCCCATCGTGTTCCGCTGGTTGGGGTCACTGGCGCGCCTCCCAGAACTTAGTGAATATCTGCTTTCTGCTTCATTTTTTGGGGAGGTTGACTTGGCTACTAGATTTGAGCCTGGCCTGATCTCGCCCAACGTTAGGTGGATTGCTCTAGCGTCGTCTCGCTTAGAAGCTCCTTAACTCGGCGTGCTATCTCGGGAACCTGGCTTAGAATATTGCCAGCGCGGGCCCCAAGCAGTGAGCCTGTGCACCCTCCGCGGTGCAAGCCGTGCGGTGCAAGCTGCACGGTGCAGGCTGTGCGGCACCAGCTGCGTGGTGCAGCCGGCTCACGAGGCGCCCACGAGGCGCCCACGTGCGAAGCCCAGGGCACGGGCGCCTACGAGGCGCCCACGGGCGGCGACCCGGCGAGCGCCCGGGGAACGGCGAAGCGGGCGAGCGCCCGGGGAGCCCGTGCGACCGACCGGGGGCCACCCGGGCGCTGGGCCTCCCCGGGTGGGTTCGGGGTGGGCGGGGTCGGAGGACTGCCCCCCGCACCGCCGGTGCAGCGGCGATGCGGCTCGGTGCGGAACTCGACTTGCGCCACGCCGACGTCGTCGATGCATCGTCGGCGTCGCTGGCGCATCGGCAACGCATCGCCGATGCATCGGCAGTGCGGCGCGATCCTCCGACCCCATCTGCTCGGACCCCATCTGGGAGGCTCCAAAGTCGAGCAAGAAGCCCTGGGTGCGAAACACTGTTCGGGGAATGCACTGCCCGCGAGAGCCACCAGGAGTGGAACGCCCCCCTCTCCTCCCCCATCTCCCTCCCCCCGCTCTCCTCCCTCCTCCCCCGCAATGGGGGGGTGCCTCGCATCGGCCCGGGGCAGGTCCCTCACACGGACCTGCAGCTGAGAACTTGTTACGAGCTGGGGAAGGAGCTGGGCAGGGGGTCCTTCGGCGTCGTCCAGGAGGCCGCCGCTCCCTTTGCTCCTCCTCTTCCTCCTCCTCCTCCTCCTTCTCCTCCTCCTCCTGCCCGTTGTCACGTCCTTCTCCTCGTCGTGTTCTTCTTCCTCCTCCTACTCCTCCTCCTCCTCCTCCTCCTCCTCCTCCTCCTCCTCCTCCTCCTTCCTCTTACACTGGTAAGGGTCGGGAGGTTCTGAGTCGCCTCTCTCGGTGGCTTCCTCCGAAGTCGGGAGTGCCTTGTGTGAGATGCGTCCAGGCATGCGCTTGGGGATCGAGATCGTTGCTCAATGCTAACTGCTCCTCCTTCTCATGCGCCCCCCCCTCCTTCTTGCTGTCCCTCATAGTCTTTCCTCCTTCCTTCTCCCCCCCGCCTTCGCGGATTCCCTTCGGAAGTAATCCGTGGCGATGCTCAGCATGCTCCTTGCGCGATGACCGAGACCGAGGTGTGTGTGTGTGTGTGTATGTGTGCACTTCTAGGCTTCGTGCCATCTGCCTCCTCTTACTGGTGCTTTGATCGGACCGGACAGTTTGTGATGTGCTGTTGTTGGTGATGGTGACGGTGTTGATTACGATGCTGATTACGTTGAAGCCGATGATGCCGTCAATGATGACGGTGGCGATGATGTTGATTAGAGTGATGATTGTTGGCAGCGGTGGCGACGACGGTGATGGTGCTGGCGATGACGGCTGTAATGCGGTTCGCGATCAGGACTGGGAGCGCCCCCGCGCCTGCGTCTGTGTCCACCAGGTCGAGATTGTCCGCTTCGCGGCAGGCATTCGAATGCAGACGAACAAAGCTTGGGCTTCTGTTGAGCCTCGACGTCTCGCAGGGCGTACAATGCAAGATATGAACGACCTCCGCTTCCATGTTCGCGCGGGGCCTTGCCAGCCTGCTTATTCGCGATGGTGTTGCTGCCAAACGTCGCGGGGTTGGTTACTACCAATCTGGATGGCAACCCTCGTTGCCCGCGATTGCGGCGACCATGGCGGCGTCCGCGACGATGACCATATTGATGGTGATGACGACGATGATGGCGACGACGATGACGATGACGCTGAGTACGATGACGGTCTCGGTAGCGACGACGGTGCTTGTGGTGACCGGGACGAAGATGAGGAGGAGGAGGAGGAGAAGGTGGAGTAAGAGGATATTGACAAGCGGGAGGATGTTCACGAGATGTAGTCAGAGCGAAGGAAGAGAGCAAGCATCGATTGAGGCGCGTGGGTTATCGACGGGTCGCGGCTCGGTAAACTGGTCCGTCTCGACCCCAGGATGGGTCTGGGGACAGATTTTCAGCGGAGTCGCCCTCGGCCCCCCTTGATTTAGGGCAGACCCTGCGGTCGCCTCATATTTATCTATCTACCTATCGATCTATCTATCTATCTATCTAACTATCTATCTATCTATATATATATATATATCGATCTATATATCTATCTATATATCTATATATATATTTATGTATGTATATGTATATATATGTATATCTATATATCTATCTATATATATATCTATATATCTATCTATCTATCTATAGATATGTGTCTATATATCTATCTATCTATCTATATACCTATATCTATCTATCTATCCATCTATCTATATATATATATATATCTATATATCTATCTATCTATCTATATATAGATCTATATATCTATCTATCTATCTATATATCTATCTATATATCCATATATCTATCTATCTATCTACATATATATATATATGTCTGTATATATAGCTATATATATACCGATATATATATATATAGGTACAATTAAATATTTCTATGTGTACATATTTATATATATATACCGATATATATATATATATATATATATATATATCGATCTATCTATATATCTATATATATCTATCTATCTATCTATATATCTATCTATCTATCTATATGTGTATGTGTATCTATATATATATATATATACATACACACTTAGATACATATTCCTCTTTTTGTATTTTTATAAGCCAAGGCGGGGGGACCCCCCCCCCCGAAACCGGACTCCCGAGATCTGGGGCTTTGGGACCTTCTGGATTGGCCTCGAAGCGGCCCCCCGGGCCTCGCAGGGTGTCTTGCCAAGCCTTTGCAGGGCGATCAGGGGGGTCCTCGGAGACGTCCCAGAGACCCCCAAGACAGCACAAGAGCGCTCCAAGAAGCCGTCATGCCCCGAAAGATCGCTCCAAAACGTTCCAAGAGGCCTCCACCCCAGGAAGGCCCCAAAAGGGAAGAATCATTGATTCTATGTAGGGTTTTGGTGAATTTGGGGTTCTCCTCTTTTCGGCTTCCCGACGCTCCAAGACGGCGGTCTTCTGGGCGTCCGAAGCCGCCTGGGAGGCTCTAAAATCGCCCCACAACCATCCGAAAGGGCTTCCAGGCAGTCCAAGAGAGCCCCAAAACGGCACAACAGAGGTCCAAGATGGCCCTAAGACAGCCCCTATGGCGGCCCAAGATGGCCCCAAGACACCCTCCGAAGCATTCCAAATCGTGACCGGGGGGTTCAGGGAGACCGCGGTTAGAGGCAGGTTGGCCTTAGGAAGCCCCAGAGGCCCCCAGAGGCCTCCAGAAGGCTTTAAGAAAGCCTGGGAACTTTGGTGATGCCCCCAGAGGCTCTCCAAGGAGAAGCCTCCGCAAAAGGAGCTGAGGAGGATGAGGATAATGCCCAGGGTATGGCGAGAAAGAGGAAACATAAACATGGAGGAAGGATAACGGACAACATTATTACAACGGCGATGCCAGAAAAGGCAGCAAGGAGCTCTCGCTACATTGTCGGCTTGACCTTCCTGCCATTTCCGCCTGCATGCCAAGCTTCAAGGACCAAGGTGCATGTCGCGAAGCGCCACTGCAGTCTTGCATGTATATTCCTCTTCCTATATTTTTATAAGCCCGGGCGGGGGGAAAACCCGTCCCCCCCTTCCTTAAAACCGGACCCCCGGAATCTGCAGCTTTGGGACCCTCCGGACGGGCCTCGAAGCGGCCCCCTGGGCCTCGCAGGGCGTTTTGCCAAGCCTTCGCAGCACACCCAGTGCGATCAGGGGGGTCACCGGAGACGTCCCAGAGATCCCCAAGACAGCACAAGAGCGCTCCAAGAAGCTGTCATACCCCGAAAGATCGCTCCAAAACGTACCAAGAGGCCTCCAAGAGCACCCCCAAGAAGGCCCCAAGAGGGAAGAATCATTGATTCTATGTAGGTTTTTGGTGAATTTGGGGTTCTCCTCTTTTCGGCTTCCCGACGCTCCAAGACGGCGGTCTTCTGGGCGTCCGAAGCCGCCTGGGAGGCTCTAAAATCGCCCCACATTCATCCGAAAGGGCTTCCAGGCAGTCCAAGAGAACCCCAAAACGGCACAACAGGGGTCCAAAATGGCCCTAAGAGAGCACCATAGCGGCCTAAGATGGCCCCAAGACACCCTCCGAAGTATTCCAAATCATGACTGGGGCGTTCAGGGAGACCGCGGTTAGAGGCAGGTTGGCCTCAGGAAGCCCCAGAGGCCCCCAGAACACGTCCAGGAGGCCTCCAGAAGGCCTTAAGAAAGCCTGAGAACTTTAGTGAGGCCCCCAGAGGCTCTCCAAGGAGGAGCCTTCGCAAAAAGAGCTGAGGAGGATGGGGAGAATGCCCAGGGTATGGCGAGAATGAGGAAAAATAAGCATGGAGGAAGGACAACGAACAACATTATTACCACGGCGATGCCAGAAAAGGCAGCAAGGAGCTCTCGCTACATTGTCGGCTTGACCTTCCTGCCATTTCCGCCTGCATGCCAAACTTCAAGGACCAAGGTGCATGGCGCGAAGCGCCACTGCAGTCTTGTATATGTATATATATATATATGTATAGACATAAGTTTTCTACGGCTTGCCACGCTGCGCCGTCGAACCCTTGATTCATTAGGCGGCTCTGGCGCGGGGGCAAAGAGTGGCGATCGGCGAGGAGAAGCGCGCTGAAATTGATCGGACGATGGGCCGTCAGAAGCCATCTGTGGGACCTGTTGGACCGTCCAACGTAGGGTGCTCCGTTGAGCCGTCTCGGGGTCGTGTTGGGCGCCCCCCGTGTCTCGGGCGGTATCGGGGGCGCGCGGGGGCGTCGTGGAGCGTCTGCAAGCCGGAAAAACGAAAACGCCAAAGTCCTTCAAAAACCGAAAGGGGAATGTATGATCTTAGCGCTGCGGGTTCTGATGGGACGCGGAGCGTCCGCAAGCCGAAAAAGCGAAAACGTCAAAGTCCTTCAAACATCGAAAGGGGATGTATGATCATAGCGTTTCGGGTTATGGTGGGACGCGTCTCGGATCGCTCCTGGGCCTCCTGGGGGCCCGCTGGCCTCGTCTGTCGGGCATGGGGGGCACGTGTGGAGCCATTCCGGGGTCATTTCACATGGTGAAGCTTCGTCAAGACTTCCTGAGGGCTCCCGAGGATCTTGGGGGGTTGTCTTGGGGAGCTCTGGGGCCGCTCTTGGCCTTCCTTTCTCCTCCTGACGCACACTGAACTACGCGTCGGAAATTTAGCCAGAGCATGGTTGCGTGAACATAGGTACGCATTGCGTGGCTACAGGGGGGAACGAGAAGGAGAGAGAGAGCCGACGAGGACGACGACGAATCGACGACGACAAAGCAACGACGACGACGACGACGATGACGAGGACGACGACGAGGACGAGGACGACAAGGACGACGACGACGGCGGCGGCGGCGGTGGCGGGGGCGAAGCCGGCTGGACGATCTCGCGGCTTGCCTGTGTCGCTTCCGTCGCTCCCATTTCGCCTCCCACACTCCCTCCTCTCGTTCCTTCCTACTGCCTCTTTTCTCCTCTCCCCTGCCTCGCCCCCGTCTCCTCCTCCGACGTCGCTCTCCTTCGTCCTTCTTTGTCGCCTGTTGCTTCTCAAGACAAATATCCGCGGTGGCGGCGGCGGCAGTGGCAGACTGAATGCGCGGACCCCTCGCCCACGATACTCAAACGCAGGGTCCGGGATGAAACGTGGAGCTGGGATTTGTCCAGGGGTGCGTCGGTGACGGCATTTCGAGGCGGCAGCTCGGGCCGTGGGCGGCCGTTCGGGGCGATTCGGGCACCGCCGGAGCGGCGTCGGCGTGGCGCAGCTGCTGGAAGGGGTGCCGCGGGGAAGAGAAGTGGGCGCTGGGTGGAAACATCGAGCGGAGGGCTCATTCACAGATGCGTCTGGAACACGATCCTGGAAGATGCGGCGGGATCAAAACTTCAGGACGGACCCTGCTTAAGTTTTCCAGGCCACCTACACGGAGGGAAATCCCAGAAACTCACAAAACCGTCTCGAACCGCGATCCTCGAACGCAGGGTCCAGGGTGAAACGTGGAACTGGGGATTGTCTAGGGGTGCGGCGAATGTCGAAGCAGGTCCAGCCGTTGGCTCGCGGAGGTTCGGGAAGCGGACAGAATACGAAAGTTGAGAAAAATATGTCTGCGTCTTTTGTGTCCCTTCGTCCTCCTGCTCCTTCGTTTCTGTTTCTTTGAAATGGGGTTCGCGAGCGGCGATCGTGTGTTCTTTAGGGGGCGCAGCTGGACTGAGGACAATTTTGCGGTCTCTAGAAGTGTGTAAGGAGTAGAGGGGTGTGCGGGAAGCTGTAGAGGGCCTGATGAAGTAGAGCATACGTGCAGAATTTCTACGGGCCGCTAGGGGCGTGTCTAGAGGTGCCTCTAGAAGGGCCTCTAGGAGGGCCTCTAGAAGGGCCTCTAGAATGGGCATTAGAGGGAGGCGGTCGCGACTCTAGAGAGGGAGAGTGTGCGTGCCTCTAAAGACGTGGCATTAGAGTGTGTTTCTAGAGGGTACATTCTCTTAATCTGAATATTCCAAATAATAGCTGTATATATATATATATGTATCAGCGCGTGCGCGAGAGCCCGAGAGCACGAGGCCGTGATGCTGCCCGTCCCCGCCTGGGCGGGCAAGGCGCCAGAGGCGGGGGGGGCGGGGGGGGGGGAGGGCGCCTCGATTGCAATGGCCGCGGGAGGAGGCTCCTGCTCCTCCTGCTCCTGCTCCTGCTCCTCCTCCTCCTTCTGCTTCTCCTGCTCGTGCTCCTCCTGCTCCTATTCCTCCTTCTGCCTTTATTATTATTAGTATTATTTTTATTATTATTATTATTACTGTTATTATTATTATTATTATTATTAGTATCATCATATTATCATATTATTAGTATTATTATTATCATGACTATTATTATGATTATGATTATGATTATGATTATGATTATGATTATGATTATGCTTATGATTATGATGATTATTATTATTAGTCGTATTATTATTCTTATTAAATATCACCACTTCATGATCAACGCGCGACCTACCCATCGGCGACAGGGAGCTGCACTACCGCAAGAACATCGACGCCGCGAAAGCCGCTCGCTCCGTTTGGAGGCTCTCGCCGAGCCTGCGCGGTTGCGTCGGGCTGTCGGGCGCCTCTCCATAACCAGGCGGTACGCCCCAGCTGCATCGTTCGCTCCTCCGCCTTTTTTCCTGCCCGAGGTCATCTTAGGTGACCTCCTCCCCTTTCGACAGCATGTTTGGGCTCAGGCAGGAGCTAGGCGGGCAGCAGGTCAGCAACCCTAGCCATGGTTCTTCTCTTCGTTCTTCTCCTCCCCTCTTCTCCCCCTCCCTCTGGGGCTGGGCGCTGTGGAGCCGCATCGGTATCGGCAGCGCCCCTGGCGGAGCCGGGGGATCCGCTGCTGGCCGACGAAACGTCCGCGTCTTAGATTGTTTCCCCGATGCGCAAGTGAATAAAGTCATCGTTTCCTTCCTTCGTCATCGGCGAACACATCTTTCCTTTGTCAGCGGCTGTGCCGTCATCAGCCCGTGCGGGACATGCGAAGGTTCCGCCGCGCCCAAGGTCAGCTTGGGTGGCAGAACGCGGCCCGCGAGGGCATCGGGGGACGCTCCGAGGTCATTCGTTCGATCGCCGGATTTCGCCGAATCTCTACCTCTCCTCCTTTGCCTTCGACTACATAAAGCCTCCGCCGAAGCCGGTCGGAGCGCATCCCCTGGGTCGTTCCTGAGCCTGGGCCTCAATTTTCTGGCAGCGTGAAGCCTGCTCGCTCGCGAGGGGAGAGAGGAACCTGGCGCCCGACCCCTGGCTCTTGCAGAGCGCCTCCCGCTTTGAATTCCACAGATTTTTAGAGACCGTGTGGCCACTGCTGCGCTCGTGCTGGTTGCACAGATGGGTCAGTTCGCTGCACCTGTCAGCGTTCTGCGTCTTCATCAGAGCGAGCGGGAGAGGATGTCGAGCTCCTCCCGCTACCCTGGTGTAGCCGTGGAGATAAAAGAAGTTCCTCCTCCATCTTGTCCTACTCCTCCTCCTCCTCTTCCTCCTCCTCCTCCTCCTCCTCCTCCTCCTCCTCCTCCTCTCTCCTACCGTCTCCTCTCTCGGTGCAGGTGCATTGATGCGTCGTGGGGGGGGCCCGCAGGATAGAGACATAGGCTGCATGGGGTGGAGGCTGGGGAGGGGAGACGGAGGACGACGACGGCGACGTCCCGACGTTAAGGAGTCGGAGAACCAAGGAACAACAAATATTACGCATAAGGATGAGAGAGAGGAATGTGAGGGACTGCTGACGGAGTCAGAAAGTCCAGGAGAGTCGAAGGACAAAGAGGCTGGCGAGTAATGTTAGAGCAGGGGTGGGAGCGGCAGCAGGAGACTGAGGAGGAGGAGGAGGAGGAGGAGGAGGAGGAGGAGGAAGAGAGGGTGGGGATGATTCTTTACCCGCATGTCGCCAGGCCGTTCACTGACCGCTTCAGCACCATACCAGTGGGCCCAACTCAGAGCTGGAAAGCTTGTAGTAGGGAGGAGACGTGTCTGTGTACGCATACCCTCTCCATCCTACGGATCTCCGGAGGGTCAGGCTTTTAGGACCTATCTACAACGCCAGGAACTTTGGCTTAGCGTGTCGCGCCGCCGGATCTTGCCCACCACGCCTCGGCGCGACACGCTAACTACGTCCCCGTTTCCAAGCGTCAACGTCCCGAGCCAGTGCAGCGACACGCTATCAGCACGTAGGGCATAGCGTGTTGCCGCGTAGCCGCCGCGACAAGCTGAGCAAAAGGTCCCGACCGTAAGCCCAGCACGCTACACTGATTCTGCAGTGCGCCCTCCCATCCCAGGTCCCCTCCGCATTCAGCGGCAACGCCAGGGGAGGATATGCTCAGGGGCGGACGCATCGACCTTCAATCGCTCATTCATGCCTGATAGGGGCCCGATAGCCCACTTCGCCAAGGATCGTGCGGACTCGCCATCGGCGGCCGATCGCCAAACTAGAGGCGATCTATCGCCGATTCAAGGTCGACGTCCCCCCACCTGCGCCAGTCCTCCCCTCTCCCTGTGTTTGGACTCTCTTCTGCTCCTCCTCCTCCTCCTCCTCCTCCTCCTCCTCCTCCTCCTAGCGCCTCCCTCAATTTCTGTCGCCCCTCTCGCCTGATTGTCCCACTGGCCAGAGGAGGTGCGAGCAGCCAAAATCGGATGGGAGGTAAGCGTGCCGTAACGAAGCGTCCCCTGGGTGCGTCCCGCTTCCTCTTCCTTCGGTCTGTTGACGCTCTCGGAGCCTGGGAGAGCGGAGGCCTGTCGGGGACGCACTGGCCCGCCTCAGCGCAAACTTGGCTCGGCCACAGGACAAGTTACGCTCTGCTCTTCGGGGTGGGCTTCCCAAGCCCGGCTCTGCGCCCGTGGCACCACGTATTCCGATGTTTGTTCGCCACGAGGGGCACCCAGAAGAATCACCTGGGCCCAGTCGTGATCGGCCCCCACGTCGGCCGCGTCATCGCCGACAGCGGGCCTGACGCAGCGACCCTCGAGGCGGACTTCCGAGGACGCGGTCGCGGCCGAGGCCGCGGGGAGGTATGGATGCCCTCACTTCCCCGCTTGCCCACGCCGCAGGGGGGACGGGGGGACTCAGCGTACCGTTGGCGCCCCCAAGGCGTCGGGACTGGCGGCCCCCGCCCCCCCTGGCGCTTCTCGCTCCCTCGCTGCTTCTGAGAGGAGGGAGGGCAGGTGGGGGATGGCAGGGGTCAGACGGGGGGTGCTGCCACGCGTACACGATGGTGCGGGCGCGCCATGGCGAGCGCGCAGCAGCAGCATCAGGAGGAGGAGGGGGAGGAAGATGATGAGGAGGAGGAGGAGGAGGAGAAGGATGATGATGATGAGGAGGAGGAGGAGGAGCCAAGGGAAGAAAAAAACACCACGACCCTCAGAATTGACGTTTACTACATAACCCTGGATGTTTACGAAACAACATTTCCCTGTTCGACTCCCTCTTTCGGTGCGTTTCCTGAGGGGCTTCGCTTGTCGGGGCGCTTATCACGAGGATGGTTCGTCTGCCCTCTAAGGGGGAGGAACACGGCTGCGTCTTCGCCCTCCGCCCCCCCCCCCCCCCGCGCGCGCGCCAGGCGGGTCCAGCCGACCGCCCCAGAGGCGGGGGGCGCGTCGTGGCGGTGAAGGTCTTCTCGACGTCGGGCGGCTCGAAGGCGCGCCTTCTCCCGCCGCCGCCGTGCTTCGCCTCCTCAGCCCGAGGGCCCCTTTCCTGGTCGACAAGGATCGTCTTCGCGCTCTTTCCCAGCGAACCCGTACCAGGGAGGAGGCATCCAGGTAGTTCGGATGGTGATCAGTCGGATGTTCTGCCTCAAGGCGTCGGTCTCCCTGGGCTTCTCGCCCTCTCAGGTTTTCCTCCTGGATTACCTCTCTTGCGCACCTCTTTCTCCTCCTGCTGCTGCTCCTTCTGCTCCTGCTGCTCCTGCTGCTCCTGCTGCTGCTGCTGCTCCTCCTCCTCCTTCTCCTCCTCCTCCTCCTCCTCCTCTTCCTCCCCTTGAAGGCCTCCTCAGCCTAAGTCCTCCTCTTGCTCCTCCCCTCCTCCAGCCCGACTAGCATCGCTTGGAGTGCTGAGTCTGGTACTTTTTGTGAAATGCTTGCGGAGCGTGAGGGGGATTGTACCATGCATGCATGTCGGTTGATTATCCTTGCTTGTGTATACATGTCATTGTCGTTACATCACCTCACTCACACCACGCGTTGCCATTCTATACCCTCCCCCTTTGCTTGTCCTCCTCCCTCTCCCCCCCCGTCTCTTCCTCCTCATCTTTGCGCTAATCGCGGAAGTCGTTCATGGCTGTGTTGGCCCACGAGGGCGGATGTAAAGTCTTCAACGGGAATGGCTCACCGCACGGGCGGCCCCTCTCACAGCCAGAGTTGGAGGTTTCCGCCACGAGACGGAAGAGGAGTTACAGCGCGATCTGGATTCCTCGTGCATGTCGGTTGGTGCCCAATGCCCATTCATCGTGTAATTGTCGTCGCCGTCCTATTCCCTTCCCCCTATCGCCATTGTCCGCTTCGTCTTGCTAGCTTATGGTTGTTCCGTCGGCCCAAGAGGGCGGACATGAGACCGTTCACGCCAGTGACGCTTCGAAACAGCAGCCCCCGCCAACCACGGTCGGCCGCCTCGCAAGATGGGCCGGCGCACGTGCCTTTCGTGCCAGCGCTCCTGATCCGGCAGGGAGCCAGCACCGGCGCGGGCGAGGTGGCTGCTTCCACGCCGCGGCCCACGAGGGCTTGTGGTGTTCTGCCCCCGTGCGCGAACGCCTACGAGGTCGCGGAGTACACGCCGAGGTCCACGGGGGCCTGTGATGCCCCGCCTGCGGGTGCGAACGCCTGCGACCGGTGGATCGGGAGGGCGTTGCCCCTCCCTGCTGAACAAAGAACTGGATGGGTGATCGCGCAATGCCTCGAGGAGTATTCCAAGGAAGCGGTGCTAGCTGCCGCGCTGCACCGTGAAACCTTTGCTGACCGCATGCGACAAGCAGGTCTCGGCGAGCTTTCTTCCACGTGTGGGCCGAGGAAGCGGGTCAAAATCTTGGAGGCGGCGCAGACCTTGCCTGCTTTGGGCATGTTGGCGGAGCACGCCCAGAGACTGATGATTGAAACGATCCGATCTTCGAGTCTGGCATACGTTGCAGGGATCTTGTGCTGGGCAGCAAATTGTTCGGCTGCCCATATATCATGCCATTTTCCTGCCACAGAGTGCGCTGTGCTGAACTTTGGTATGTTTGCGAACGCGGGTGCGTTCACTACGTACCTCAAACATTTGTGATGGGCACACCGGTTCGTCCATCTGCCCAACACCTGGGACACGGAAGCGTTGCAACAGGTGCGGCGGGGCATCCGCAAGGCGGCGCCTGCGCCGCGTCCGCGCCTCGCCCTGCAAGCGCAGCGTGCTCGGCAAGTGATCAGACTGGCAGAGAGGGGCGACGTCGACGCGGGCGGCTCGCTGGCCACGCTGTTGGCTGCTGGAGACCGGAGAAGCGCCGCCTTTCTCAGGTATCTCTGCTCCCACCAATTGGAGGAGGCCGCTGTGTCTAGGCTTGACCATTCAGATTCCGAGCAGAACCCGAAGCGTCAAAAATTGTGTCGTCTTCCTTTTCCTGTCTCCTCTCTGTTCTTTCCTCCCAAACAGGATTCGGATCGCGTTTCGATGGGTGCGCGCCTCGCGATCGCCTCGATGGGGACTGATCGTACGATGTGCGAGTTCGCCTCAGGGCAGGCTGGGTTGGGAGTCAGGCGCCCATCGACCCCAACCCTTGCAGTTGGCAGCACTTCGTCGCATCTGCGAGACAACCTCGTGGGGAACTTTTCCACAGCATTCAATATTGGTTGGAATGGGGGGCAAGGGGATTGTCTTGTGCTGCTTTTGTTCCCTCCCTCGGTCATCCCAGGTATTTCCTCATCGTCCACCTCACGCTTACATGTATTCATTTGTCCCTCCACCTCCCCCACCACCTCCGGGACATCTTGTGCGATGCGCGAGTCCGCCTCAGGGCAGGCTGGGTTGGGACTCAGGCGCCCATCGACCCCACCCCCTGCAGCTCGCAGCATTTCGTCGCATCTGTGAGACAATCTCGTGGGGAACCTTTCCTCCCGGATTACCTCTCTTGCGCACCTCTTTCTCCTCCTCCTGCTGTTCATGCTGTTCCTGCTGCTGCTGCTGCTCCTGCTGCTGCTGCTGCCACTGCTGCTGCTGCTGCTGCTGCTGCTGCTGCTGCTGCTCCTCCTCCTCCTCCTCCTCCTCCTCCTCCTCCTCTTACTGTGATTGGCCGGGGCGCCAGGCAGCAACGGATGATGATGCCGCTCGGCCCGGGCCTGATCGTTTTTCTCTGCTCGGAGGTCCCTGAACTCCGGGCGTCTTGAGCCGACGTGGGTACGGCGCTTTGACCTCACCCCTCTCCGCATGACAGTGCACATGCTGCTGCACAACATCATGGGAGGATGCCTGAGACGACGAGGCAGCCGGAGTCCAGCCACACTCGCCGCATCGCACGTCCTCGGGACCAGAACCGAGAGGCGGCCAGAATCCAGCCACACCCCCGGTTCCGAGATTCAGGACTGCTACGCCATCGGACCTGTTACTTGCATAAGGTAGCCCGTCTCCATAAACAGGGATACTCCGACAGGCCCGGCCGGCCAGCCGGAAAGTTCGAATTTCGGTTCCAGGGCGGGCGAAGGTAACCCGTCTCCATAAACAGGGATACTCCGACAGGCCCGGCCGACCAGCCAGAAAGTTCGAATTTCGGCTCCAGGGCGGGCGAAGGTAGCCCGTCTCCATAAACAGGGATACTCCGACAGGCCCGGCCGACCAGCCGGAAAGTTCGAATTTCGGCTCCAGGGCGGGCGAAGGTAGCCCGTCTCCACAAACAGGGATACTCCGACAGGCCCGGCCGACCAGCCGGAAAGTTCGAATTTCGGCTCCAGGGCAGTTCGAAGTTCGGCTCCAAACTACGCCATGCTCTGCTACACTGCTGCACTGTGGCAGAGCCACCATCCCCACCCAGTGCTTGCACGGACTGTTCGGGGACCACGAATTGAGGAGGAAACTAATTACTTATAACATTTGGTATGTACATACAAGGCCTATTGAAAAAATGCATTGGTAATCATTTCACCGCTTGGTGAGGTGATGAACGCCTCAGGTGCCAGACAGAAATTGCTGCAGTATCTGTGGCATCATTTCACACCCCCCTTGGCCCTGTCGCTCAGAATCTCTTCGGCCCGAGCTCAGGCCGCAGGCCGCAAGTGCGAGAGGACGAACATCTCATCGTGGGTTGCTGGCCCTCAGCGCTCGGCGGCGCGCCCCAGGCCGATGCGCACCCTCGCCTCGGCAAATGGCGCGGGGTTGAGGGACTTGGTGAAGAAGTCGCCCTTGTGCGTGGCTGTCGCGTGGTACTCCACGTCGAGCGCGGCCTCTGGATCGTTGTAGATCTCGTGCATGGCCCCAATAGAGCATCTGTGGGTTCGTGAAAGACACCGCAGACGCTTAGAATATCCTTTCTTGATAGCCTGTATCGCTTGCGTGTTATCGACACGGCAATCGACAGGAACGAGGACGCCTAGCATGTCCGAGATCAGCGTCTGCACCGGCAGAGCGCAATGCCGCACCGCTGAGCTCATGCTGACGGTCTCGGACTCGGCACTGCTACTGCTGGTCGCTGTTTGGTGCGACACCTTCCACGTCAGTGGGAAGCAGTTCCCCGACTCGATGCCCACCAGTTCACAATACAAGCCACTTGTGCTCTTGGTCGTGGTGCTGTCTCCGTTCCAATCGGCGTCGGGCCATATTCGAACTGCCAAATGCTCAAGGTCACTTGGGCTAAGCTGGCCAACCAGCTCAAGATCATGATGCTCCGCCACATACGACATGAAGCGAATCAACGCCACATCGTCTGTAACAGTCCATCTTGTCACCCGACTGCACATCCTCTGGATCGCAACCGACAAATCTGGCCGGCATACCAGTGAGGCATACAGGCCCGAGGCGACGTAGCTAGCGGCCGACGCCTGGAACACGCCTGGCTCGTCGTCCGCCGCGTTGTAGTCGCCATCTGTGGGGTACGGCGTGGTCACCTTCCGCAGCGCCCCTTTGAACTCCAGCCTGAACTTGTCCACCAGGTTGCGGAGGTACCCGCTCATGCTGGTGGCGACTGTTCGGACCTTCAGCGGCTCCGCGGGGTCTGCGCAGTCAAAATGGTAAAGGGCGCCCAGGTAGCGCAGCACTTTCGCGTACGCCTCCTGGAACACAATGTGCTGCCCGAGCTCGTACCAGTGCTTCTTGGCGTTCGTCGGCGTTGCCGCGAGCAAGAAGTCGTCCACGCAGATCACCATAATGCTGCCATCGGTGTGCAGCCAGATGCTGTGCCAACCCTCGACCTTCCTCCATCCGGTCATCTCCACGATGAACACGGCGTCGGTGTGTGACTCCCAAATATTCCCACTCTTGGGATGTCCTGGGAGCGCGTACACCAGGGGGACAGCTGGTCGATGGTACTTTGGCTGCTTGCTCTCACGATCGTAAAACCAGCTGTCTGGCCACCAGTCCTTGGGAAGCTCAACAAGGTTCATGATGGCTGGGTCGGTCTCCATCGCTGCCTGGAGGTATGCCTGGTACGCGTCGCGGTAGGTGCAACTCATGTTGGTCAGCATCGCCACGGCAAATGCGCACCTGGCCGCAATCAGGCTCGCAGGGCTGTTGGAAACATCTTCAAAGATTTCGTATGCACTCCGACCCGTTCTGGTCCATATGTTGTTTCCTTGGAAGACCGCCCTGGCTCTGTAACGCCATTGGTCCTCGGCCATCTCGCTGTTCTTGCAGCCCAGGATGACGAAGACGCGGCCTACAACGACGTCACTGTACGAGCCGTCGGCCATCCAGTCGCTCAGGCTGCGGACCTTGCTCATGTCCCAGGTGCCTCTGTTTCGGTGCCCCTCGAGCTCCGCCTCGACCGCCGCCTTGGCCTTGTCAGTCTTAGCCTCCTGCGACTTCATGTTTACGAGCCTAGTAATGAGGCAACACCACAACGGCATTGAAGGAGGGCCTGGAGGCAGCACGCGCTCCATGATGCGCTCCGGGAGCGTGCATGGCATCGCCTTGAGAGTACTTGGTTTCAGAGCCTTCCAAATCAGATTCGCCATCATCGGCGTGTATCTGGCGCTGGCAGCCGCAATCTTGCCGCGGCACTCCACGAAGCTCTGATCTTGGATGCTATTGGGAGGGTCGGAGTAAAGCGCTAGTTCGATAGGGATCCCAGAGTGTGTCGTAGCGATCCTCCACCTCTTCTTGATGAAGACTTGCTGCGTCGTGCCCTGGATGCTCTTGTCGAAAGACATCCCCACGGCAGCGATGGAGACGTAAAAATCAACGGCCCCCCGTCGAGTCAGCATGTCAACAACCCTCGGGTCCTGCACCAACCAATCTCGTTCTGCGCACTCCCAAGAAAACGTGTTGTCCGTCCTGCTCACGTGCTCGCAAATCTGGATGGCTGCATCGATGAGCTGGCTGTTGAGGCTCTCGTCCCTGGTGGTCGCACTCGGGGTCGTGCTGGTGAACCTCTGGGGGCACCCAGACATGCACGGGATGCTGATCCAAGCGTGCACCTCCACCTCGTGAAGGACGCAAAACCTGATCAAGCCATGAATCGCACGCTTTGTTGACTTCAGTAATAAGTCATCCCTGGCGGTGATGCGCACCGCAAGGCACTGCTCCTGGACGGCTGCGCTGAGTTCGCTGTCCGCGGAGCATCCCAACTCCAACAAGAGGAAGCGGTAGTCGCCCGTGATGATCATGCTGCGAGCCTGCTGGGCGAGGTGCGTCGCTGACGGGCGCAGCGCCATCGCAGGGCATGCTGGCTGAGGAATCCGATCGCTCAGCTCGAGGGTCGCGGTGTCCTTCTCCACGTCGCTCCCTGGCGGCCTGGGGCACTCGGCAATCGGAGTTATACCTCTCGCGACTGCTGCCAGGGGAGTGGCCGGTGCAACCACGCCCTTTCGTTTGGCCTGTAACCAAGCAGACCGTCTGGCCTCCTGCGCCGCGAAGCCCGGAGCATCGACTCGCTCCCACTCTGCGCGGAGCTCCTTCTGAGCAGCTCGCCCGATGCCAACCCACGCCTCGGGTTCGCATGTTGGCGGGCGTCGTGACCAGGGCGGCACGTGTACCAGGCGGACTCTGTCGCCGCGCCGGGACCTGTCGACCCGCCAGCCCGGGGGAGCAGTTCCCCCCTCGACGATCGCGATCTCAGGCTGGATGTCGTCGACGGCCTTCTGAGCCTCCACCACGTCGGCGTCCACTGGCTGGAAGTCGCCAGCCGGCGCAACGACCTCAAGCTGCACCTCGTCGCCGTGGGTATCGGGCTCCAGAGCCAGCACGTGGCCCAGAGGCACGCTCGAGTCGAACTTGGCGGCGTTCTCCTTCCACATCCCGTCGAAAAACTCCGCCTCCGTGTCGACGTCGCCCTTCTCCTCCAGGATCTCCCAGGAACCGCTGTCGTCAACGACGTGGGGCATCGGCAGCGTCTTGTCGACCACGGCTCCGTAGATCGCCAGGCGCTGCTTGATGGGGAACGTGACGTCCTCTGGGAGCACCACGTCGACCGTCCTTCGGATGGCCGCCTTGGAGGCTCGACTCTCCGAGGTGAACCTCGACAGAGGGACGACCCCGTAGCTGGATGCCCATCTCCCCCCTGGCCCGATGGTGACCTCGATCAGCACGGCGGGCACGAGCCGCGACTGCAGCTTGTCATGCTGCGGTTCCGCTCCCTGCTGCGGTACTGGCCGGTGCGGGTGGAACAGCACGAGGGCGCCGAAGGCGTACTGCTTGTACGGTGCAGGCGTGCCGTGCCTCCTGAGGTATGGGGTCATGCCGTCCTTCCCGATCATGAACCCGTTCCACATGGCGACCCAGAAGAGCAGCGCCATCGCCCAGCACGCCTCGTCGAGGCCTGACTGGATGAGCAAGGCCCTCGTGCCCTCCGACGCTGTCCGATTCGTTCTTTCCGCCTTCGGGGCGTGCCGCCACGGCACGGACGTGAAGTGCGCCAGAGGTCGCAGTGACCGCACCTGACGAGATGCGGCCAGGAACTCAGCTGCTCGATCAGACCACCACCTCCGAATGGTAGGGGGCACCTCGTCGAACCGATGGATCAGCTCCACCACCACGCTGGCCTCCTTGGAGTTCGAGGGCCCAGCGCCGAGAAACATGGTGAGGTCGTCCGTAAGCATCAACGCGCGCTGCGCCGTCTTGAAGGCCTGGGTGCCACGGCGGATCTCCAGCCAGTCGATGTGCAGCATCGCCCCGAACGGCTTGTCGATGGCATCCTGGCCAGTGACGTGCACCATGTGCTCCGAGCGCCGGAGCTTATACTTATGCAGGTGCTTCGCGTCGTCGCAAATTGGGCACCCCTTCATGCGAGGCAGGTGCATGCTCTGGTGCTCGGGTGCGTGCGCGCCTGGGCACGGACTGCAGTAGTCCTGCTCCTCGTCCTTGGCGTCCACCTGCGAGACCTCGAACTTGGAGTCGTTGGCGATGATGTCGGCCACGACGTCGTGCTCCGTCCTGTCGGCCATGTCCAACACTCTCTGGACGTCTGCCAGGAGAGTCCGCTCGGAGTCATCTGCTGCGCCAGGCTCTTCTGGTATCGGTGGGATGATGGGCTCGATGTTGACGACGCTCTCCTGCCGCCGCTCGAGGTCGGGCGCGGCCGGCGCGAGCGCCGCAGCTGCCACTGCGATCACGTTTCGTCCTCGCCCAGGCCGTCGACAGCGAACGAACGGCACGAAAT